CCCTATAATTACTAGGATTAGCTTCATCGCCCTTTTTAAAAATAGGAATTATTACGCCTTTACTCAAAGCATCAGGGTATATACCTGAATCGAAAATTTTATTAAAAATGGCTACTAAATATAATATAATAAAGTTATTAGAATCAATAAAAAAAATCAGCATCATCTTTATCATAATCACAGCTTTTATGCCTATTCAGACTACTAAATATCCTAGAAACTTCATCAACAGTAAAATGTCAGTCAAGTTCATCTATAATGACATTTTCATTACGAAGAGGCGTATCGCCATGAAATACAGAATCGCTTTGATTCAAATATGATAAACTCTTAAAATATTCGGCAAATTCATGAATACTGATATCAGAAGAATCCGGCTTACTTTCCTTTTTGAATTTAATAATATATTTCCAAAATTGACGCGGGTTGCGTTTACTTAAATTTGATAAACAATTTAAGTATAACAAAATTTCTTTTTGCCTTCCTCTTAGTATTAGTATAATGTTTTCTACTATGTAAAAAACTGGCATTATTTTCATCAGACGGGACAGTTTAAAATAGCTCTTTTGTCACAATAAAAAGAATTTTAGCATGAGGCCGAGGATAATTTGTTGTTTTGTCCTAGCAAACTGTCTTCTTCATATCTGTAAGAAGACAGTTTTGAAGAAAATACGAGTAATATTATCTGACTTATACGACGTTTAAGTGTAAAGAACAGTTAAGTTGAAAAAACACATTTAATTCTGAATAGATTTATATGAAATTAAATGTATGTTCACGTTGAAAATCTAGAACTATAGAAAATATTTGCATAGCCTTTAAGATTTGGGCATTAAAAGGTGTAGGTCAATTGAATTCGCAAGGAATGTTCGTACACTTTTTCAATCGGACGTCATTCACTTTCGTTATTTTATGCTTTTCAGTAGATTACTGATTTATCCATGACAATTATATTTGATAATTTCACAGTGAAAAATATCAAAATATAATTGCACAATTTTCAATAACGAAACTACTTTCTTAAGATTTTCCCCATGTGGTACTTCAATTTTATTTTTGCTGACAATTCTGACCATGTCAGGCTGTTCAGAAAAAGACAAAGCTGAAATTGATAAATAACTTAAATGTTAAGAGTAATAAAAAGAAGAAAAAAAACTTACTTCTATTCATTCAAATTGACGATCACCAAATATTATCTTTTTTTTTCATTTTTACAGTCTGAAAAAATACATTCCTACCACATGCAAAACTGCTTTTGATGATATTTGGGCATATTTAAGTATCCTACGAGCAATATCTGTCGCATGTTGTATGAAAACTAGAAAAGCTATGACAGCTATCAGCCCGAAGAATCAGCAAACAACCCAGCGTTCGTTAAGCAGCTTTTCAACAATTCCAAGTTTTCCCATTTCATAGTCGCTTTTTGAATGTTTACACTTCTGTCAACACTTATTTATTGTCTGGACTTTTTAGGGTGTATGACTAACAAATCCAAATGGTATCCCAATGAGGCTCCCATTGGGTAAATAAGATTTTAATATTAATGTTAATTTCAAGGCAATTTCTTTCTAACTTGTTTTAAAGCATAAAATAAAAAGAAAATGTGTTTGTTTGTAGTTCAAGATGTAACTTTATTTCATCATGTAGCCACTCGTGAGAGTTCTGTTTTTAAAGCCCACGTAATTAAATAAAATTCCATCTTACACACGAACAAACAAATATCCTCTATTTAATAAAAACGATATTACACTAGTGCAAAAATAACACTTTGACGTGACGTCATTTAAGATATGCATTGAAAAATATCAATTTTGAAATAGCTAAAGTGCCAAATACAGGCACTCATAGCAATGATGTCGTGCTGATAGATCTTCAACACTTATAAGACTTCTTGATGCAATATTTTCTAAATAAGATGTTATTCCAAAACTGTCCTTTTCCGATTGATTTAAAGATAATACATCATTTGAATTTATACCAGCTCTCTATTCTTATATATATTGATATATCAATCTCTGTTATAAAAAAAAGCAAAAATAGATAATTTTGATTTACGCTTAGGTTCCAAAATAACCCACAGATTTTCTTAAAGTCTAAAAGAATTAGTACATTCACAAAAACGTTTGTATACCCTTTGCTTATATCAGATAAACATAAATTAGCAATTGGTTGCACTTATTTATTCAAACCAAAACTGAAAAGTATCAGTTTATATACAGCGGATATCTTCCAAGTTCTCCGTACACAGCAAAGGTACTAGTAGATTTTCTAACACCAAGAATATTTTATAAAATGTCATGGGAAAATTTTCTAACTGTTTTAATTGACTATCAAAAATACATACTTCACTTACATACATTGAAAAATAGAACCAACCAAAGATTCATATATCTGTTAGGCTATTTTTGGTTTCCTTTCACATTTTGTCAAATTTGCCATTAAAATATTTAGGAGTTTTAAACCTTTACGATATAAAGTTTGAGTACCTAAGTTGAAATTGCCAGTAAAATGCAATGTGACACCTAGACGATTAAAATCATTAACAACCTCTATATAGTCTTGACTATATAACCAGCACCCCTCCCCCTTAACGAAAACCTACTATTTTGGTTTTATTAGTATTAACTTTTAATTACCATTTATTACATTATTCACATTTATTTGTACTGCAGATCTAGAGAAATTTAAGCAACCAATACCATATCACCAGTGGACAAAAGTAAAATGAGGCAAATGAAGAAAATTATCTCCTCTTGACGTAATCCAATCGAAATATAGAAAAGAACAAGAATAGCATTGATGCAAAGCATCAAAGGGCGTCCAAGCAAGAAATGCAGCCAGTGAAGATGAACTAGTAGACATCTGATGACCAGATATTCTTTTAAATTTTTCAATGATTAATTGGTTTTTACCAGAATTGTATATCAGACGATAGACATTGTTCATCATGAACTTTGGTAGGCATGCTAGAGATTAGAATATTAAATGTTTTTTCCCACAGGAACTTGAAATTATATCAATATTAACGATAATATCCAAGCTATACAGGTTTATTATATCCAAAATACACCCCCTATATGGTATAAGTTTATTTATACTATATATAGAGTATTTTTGGATATCAACATTTACATTGGTTATTTGATAGAATTTCAGGTTCATGTGGTATTGTCTTGGAACATACAAAATAGTAATCAAAATGAAGAAAGTTTATTGCTACTATTTTAATGAATTAGTTTACTTAAAAAAAAACTCGTCTGACCCACCCGTGTATTTACATTCCTATTCATAAAACCCATGATAACTCCTGTTTAAATCGCAGACGAAAGTTTTCTGTTGTTAAAATGTCACACTATTAGGCAAATCAACAATCCGCTCAAAAAAGAAAAGACAATTTCAAAATGATATAACAATTCATAAAAATGGCATGCTTAAATTTTTTCTATAGATTTATAAAGAGTACAATTAATTGTTTGAATATGTTTGCATTTGATTTCCTGCAAAATTCTACAGTTCGTTGAAAATAACCATAGCACGGCATGAATGACCGTGTCGTTAAACTCGAACTACTTCTATAAATCGATTTTCGGACTTTCACAATGGTAAGTTCATCATTCTATTTATAGGTATACAGCAACAACACTGTGTAATACAAACAAAAACAAGAGCGCGAATAATTAAGATTATTTCATTTGAATATGTTTGCATTGCGAAATTCCCCAGTTCACTATTCATTGTACATATCGCGACCTTTCATTTTTGATAATCAAACACCCTCATACCAATCAAAATGATCGGCTATTATGACTGACGAAAAGGCCCGAGAAGTTACAATTGCCCTTGCACAAAATCTGATTTCATTCCATAAAGGGGCGTCGCGCTTCGGAGCGGACGCCACTGGTTACCATAAGACTTTACAAATGATTTAACAAAAGATTTCATACTTGTTATCATTCTTAATAATTTACCATTCAACCCCGTTATACAACTTTTTAAAGATAATCTATCACCAAGTGCATTCCTGAATATAGAATCGAAACAACGTTTTAAATCAATAAATGCACAATACAATCTTTTATTCTGGTTCAAATATTTTTCCGTTATGTAATGTAATATAAAAAAAGCATGCATAGAAGGGCTACCTATATAAAAAACAAACTGCACATCAGATATAATGTTATTTTTCATTGCACCATTTAATTTTCATGTCAGTAAACAGTCTACCAAGATGACTCAATAAAGTTAATCACCTGTAATGTTTTACATGTCCTTTATTTACTTTTTATGGAATGTTATGATTCAACTTCTTGTCCTGATTTCTGAATTCTAAAGTTTTGCTAAATAGCTATGATATTGGCCAGATAAAATATCCCTTGCACTGATTCCTTTAAAATGTTATCTTTTCCAGTCGCTTTATTTCTTTGAAGCATAGTCATTGCCTTAAGAACTTTATGTGAAGTTATATTTTCATCTACTTCTGAGAACACAGGGTTAAAATCTTTAAAATCATGTACTTTATTATACTCTCCTTCTCTATGATTTAAAAAAAATATCTTAGAGAACATAGTTTAAAAGAATTGTTTTAAAATCGTGTCTAAGAAGCAGTATAAACCAACAACATTTAACCAAAAGTATCAATTTCACAAAATCTAATTAATTGATCAAATAAATATATAAACATTTTATTTACAGCATGGGTATATAAACATACAACTATAAATGGATTCAAAGTAGAAAACAGAACATATCATAAAAGAAAAATAATTCATTTTACATACTACACTTATTCATCTGCATAGATTAAATGCTAATATCTATTTTGTAAAACATGCAAATTACAGTATCTTCCGTAAAAAAACTATTTTAAAATTATAAATACATGTATAAAATTATGTTTCATCTATTTATGCAAAATCATATTTTTATCTTGAACATGAATACATTTTTGATAATTGTATTCAATTATTCTTATCAAATTAACCAAAACACAAATTACTTACCTATTGCATTTACTCCGTGATAGGCAAGACAAACAAAACAAATTCCGATGACAACTTTCATTTTGTTTTTCTACTTTATTTTACAATGAGGAAGATATAAATATACCATTGGGTTTCGACTCCATTTCCCTGTATTTACACTGATATTTCAATTTAACATATGTCACACTCACACGTTCAGTAGCTTTTAATGCATTTTGCAAATAATATAACAACAAAAGAATTACAAAACTGCTCTAATTTCATCTCTTAAAGATCAATCTCGACCGTCTTCAAATTGTGTAACAGATAACTTGTTTCTGTATAATGTAAGGACATTTAAACATCATCACTTTATTTACATGATATATTATTAAAAAACTAATTAACATTTACAACCAATGTATCCGTGTTTTACTTATCTGTATATAAGCTAGTCTCATCCTTTTATTGAAGATAAGACAATGTGTATTTTCATCTTATTGCTGCTTTATTCGAACACTTTACCCCGTATTATGTGTACTTCGCTAGCGTTATCTCAGCGATCTCCTGTTGCGTGCATGAATGATTGCATTCATTTGCTTTGAGCAAGGGTTGGGAGGGTACTTAGTTATTTGAATGCTGTGTTACGTTTCCTTATTTACTGATACCATTAATTCTGTTTACATTGTAAGAAGTTTGCCTTGGTTGGTCTTTAATATAACATTAACAAATGATGCGAAATATGATCCTTTACGATCATTTGTTGACGATCAACTGATAGTTACTAAAATTTTAAACGCTGTTAACTACAAATAAATACTGATACGTGTATACGCAGCTGTTATTTTGTCTCCTCCCAATAAAAATACATGCAAATATACACATAAAAAAAGAACAATTAAACAAAAGCAAATCGGTTTGGCAACAAAAATCCGAAAACCAGTCGAGGAGGGGTCCTTGAAAACCGGCTACTTAAACTTCTTCAGGAGACCCTTGCCACGCTTAATCGAAGGCCTTGCTAGTGTCGAAAAAAACTATTCGTATCTCAAGACCTTCATCAATGACCTTACAGAAGGAGTTGTAAAGAAAGGTTAATTGCAGTTGAGTCGCGCAGTTTTAAACCAGATTGAAGGGGAGATATAATGTCATTGTCATAGAGAAAAATATAAATATACTTGAAAATAATGCGTTCAAAGATTTTTTCCATGCAGCATAAGAGAGTTATAGGACGGTAGCTGTTGGGTAAAGATGGATCGCCTTTCATAGAAATTGGGCAAATGTTGACATCTTTCCAAGTTTGAAGAATCTTACAAGAGCGGGGTGGATGATTAAAAAGTGAAACAGAGTGGGGATTTGATTACGGACAACATTTCATACAAGATCCGATTGCTTATTTCATCAGGGCCAGACGCTTAAGTAGTATTAAGAGTTTGAATGGCACCTTCAACATCTTGAGTTGTTATACGTAATGAAGTAACAGTGTTCAAATGCTGCTCGTAGAAATTATCAGGAACTTCTTTATCAGATTTTTCAAGAGAGGACTGGTTGCTATCATTCAATATCATTTACACTCAGGTCATTTCAAGAAGATTCAATACTCTAGCTTGACTATTTTTAGAATTATGCCCCCTTTGATTTTTTTTCTAGAAATTATTATTTTTAAACAAACTTCTTCATTTCTAATAGCATTAACTTCAAACTCCCACAGCATAATAATATGACAAGGGGTATAAATCTAACATCGAAACGAAACGGTCATTCGTAATATAAGAATATCTAAGTATAATCTAGGCCATGTTGTTATGAATTGCTATATCATAGTGTTATAATTCTGAAACTGTCTTTTCCGTAGGTTCTTTCTGTTATATTAGTTGGTTCTTTCTTTTCTACGGCTGACATGTTTTTACCCTGAATATTAAGATCGACCCTTATTTCCCGACTTTTTGTTGTAAGAATTTTTTTTTGTCAAGGCACACGATTTTATGGTGGATTGAGTGGAATGTTGACTTACCGAATTCTGTGATATTTAATAACAGAAACTTTCGTCTGCAGTTCCAACATGAGGTGTTTTGGGTTTATTGATAGGAATGTGAGCATACTGGTGGGTCAGACGAGGTTTTTGAAGTAATTCAAAAAATAGTTGTTTAATCTTCGAATAAATCAAATTAACAATAACTCTTTTTATATCACCAATGCCAACAATCTGTTAAATTTTTGACTCGTATGGTTATGATGTAAGTGAATTTCCTCATACCTTTCTAAAATTCAGGTAACGGTCTTCCGTTGTACTGATAAATAATGTTTTATCATATCAACATGCAATGCAAATCTATTCATGATTTTGTTTAATGTACAATTATTTTGTTAACACGTATAACAACAAACAAACAAATCTTGAACTTGATCATTTTGAAATTCATCCCAAAATTTTCATTCCAGCGTGTGTTCTACTATCAGTATTTATCTGGCACTTAAAAAAAATAATTACTGTATTTATAAGTACGCCCCAGGTATTGAAATGTATATAAAAATGCATGTAATAGTATTATATAAGCCCTTTGTTACTTTTTATATACTGTTTGTATATTTGTTACATTTATAATAAAAATAAAAAAAAACATACTTTTTTATTTAACTAGAGCGCTACGTACTGTTTTGTATGTTCCAAAGAAAATACATTTGAGCCGTGTCACGACCAAACCAACATAGTGGGTTTTGCGACCAGCATGGATCCAGACCAGCCTGCGCATCTACGCAGTATGATCAGGATCCATGCTGTTCGCTATCAGTTTCACTACTTGTTATAGGCTTTGTAAGCGAACAGCATGGATCATCGTCACTTGCTGCATTTCTTGCTTGGACGCCCTTTGATGCTTTGCATCAATGCTTTTCTTGTTACTTCCCGGTATAAAATAACCAATCACTAGTTTGTCATCATGTGGATTATATTTCCAATGGTAACATATTGCATTTTTGTATATTTGATAGTTTAGTATTCCCTTTGCTGGCAAATTTTGAGCTTTTTAATCCTTATCTATGTTTAGCGCATATACCTTTAGATGTGGCAAACAGGATAAATGTTTTATTTTACTTTTAAATCTAGTATACCTCAATTCTAAACACAAATTTTAAACCCCACTTCAGAACATACATAGTATGGGAATTCATTTTTAAAGCTTTAAAGGTGAATGATAAGTTGAGACCCAAGTTTAACACAGAGAAAGAACATCGTCACTTAGCTAAATTGTTACAGATTCGTAGCTTTCAAAAAATATTATGTAGTCACCAAGGTGCATTTATAAAGTTTTTTTTATACTATTAATGAGCATTGATCACTGTAAAATTAAACGGCAATTTATGTGGTTATTTCAGTTGCAGTGTGCTAATTTTTCTGCAAAGTGTTTTTACAAAAATCTCATTTTTCCTTTCTTTTTTTTATATCTATAGATATTTCATTCCAAAGAAACTGTAAATAATTAAGGTATATTTGTTCGCTTGTGTGAAATTTGCTTTTCTATTTCATTAACTACACCCAGAACAATATTTTCGAGGTTGGAGAACACATTTATCCTTTAATTTATGCTTAGTTACCATTTTACTTATAAATGATTGTACGATTTTTATAATGATTAATTTTAAAACATGAATATGTTACTCGTACTCCTTACAGGAGAAATTTAAACATGCAATTGTCTGTCATTTGTTAGATTTTACCTTGTCTAACGGATATATACGTTGTAATTGATGATTTTACCCATACTTAAAGAAGGAAAATTTATGTTAAGATTGTAACAAACAATACATAATTGTTGTCAGATTTGTATTCATTCATGACATGATCAGGATTTTGGAAAGCATGGGCAGTTTTGAAAAGCTGTCTTAGGAATTTTTATTATTTTTCGGGCAGATACATAAGCATTGGTTTCATCCAATGTGTTGATATATTCTTGAAAAACAGTTTATATTTAGAGAAACATGAGAGATTCTGCTTTACTTATTATCCATAGATGCTACAATATAGTAGACAATTGTAATGTTATTTAATGATTCTGTTTTTATGATAACAAGTTCAGAGAAAAGATAAAACAGTCTCTTAACAGATCTGTTCTTAATCAATTTACGTTTATTTGTTTTAATTTTAAATAGACTAGAGCTAGATCACACTTAAATATTCTGAAATGTATTGTAACATAAGAACTTTGAATTAAGATAACTTTGACAGGCAACTGATTCTTCAGAAAGGTTCTTAAAACACTGGATCATTACTACTTGGATTGGTCTGATATAAAAGGGCATTAAATTTGAAGATATATTTTGTCAAATAATTACGAAATATGCATGAAAATGCTGCCAGTGTGAACAAAGATATTTACATTTACCGTCTAAGAGGTGTTTAAGTTGTGATGTCTGAAGCTTCCAAACGATACAAACAAATTGAGATGTCTAAGCACATTCCTTTAATTGCAAGTAAAGCTGAAAATATCTTCAGTTACAATTCCTCATGATAAAACAGCAATATTCTGCAAGCACAATTTCTTATGTTAACAAATCTTATGATACAGTGCAACTTCGAGAACAAGAACTTTTGTATCCGGATGTATTGTTTGTTATTAAGCTGTCGTATAATTCTATTAAATATAACTTCTGTGTCACGTTAACGTTAGATTATTCATAATTTCATAGAGAGATTTGGTTCGTATCAAGTAATTGAAATGAGATATTTATTCCACAAGAAAGTCTACTGTAATGAAATTTAAAAGAACATCGTAGTTACGGGTGTATTTTAGAGGCTCGTAGAATTGTGCTTCGTCATAAATCCAGTCATTTCTTAATGAGTAAAACCAAAGGTAGGAAAAGAAACATACTTTGTTCCAAACTGAGATAGGGTACACAAAACACACAGCATGTTAACCACTGTGTATCTGACAGGAGTCTGTAAAATAGATTGCATAAGCGTAACTTTGTTTATTTTAGTCAAATTCAGTTCTTGGGCCAAAGGGTCGCTATTTCCAGGGATTTAGGAGAAATCTGAGCGACGAAATGTCATTTAAATATAATATCATAATTATCTATAGTTATGAAAATGATATCAAGTATTGTATGTAAGGTAAATTTGCATGACGTCTGATATGAATTGGTTCATATAACTTAAATTATTTACCATATAAACCATAAACCATAGCCAAATGTCTTTATTGTTATCAATATAGTTTTGGTTATGTTTAAAGTTTTTATTCAACACACCTAAATATG